TTTCCCTATTCCTCCAGTTTCCCTGAAAATTGGGACATCAATAGTATTTATTTTGCAGCCTTGTTATGGCAATAAAATAAGTTAATGAAGATAAAGTACTTTAAAAAGAGTTACATGACAGATCTTGGTTCTCATTTTCCCCCATAACCCCCTTCACCCTGCCCTCCCTTCACCCTTTCCACTCTCCCCTATTTACAAAGACTTTGTTTCCATTTTTTCCTCTTCTCATATCCTTTCTTGTCCCTTATTTTCTTTTCCCTATCTTTCCCACTTCTCCTACGCCTTTAGCCTTCTGTAAAGGTACAGTATCCCAGTGATGAATGTAAGTGTACTGTATACTTAAAAAGTACCAATAAACTCAATAAGATAAAAAGAGTTAGCACATATGTCCTATCTTAATATTTGATTAACACAATTAAAGAAAAACATCCTCTTTTTATAAACTTTTAATCCTTTGAACATTCTCAATTCTCTTCTATATTTCAAAATCACTCTTCTCTAACTCCCAAACTTCTCCATCTACAGCTCCATGTATTTCTTTAATAGCTAAATGTCTTTGGTGTTAGATATGTGCAGGTCTCCATTTCCTCCCTGCCTGATCACTTCTCAGGGCATAACAACATTTTGTGTCTCACCATCCACGGAAATTGATCTGGCTATGAAATCCATGCATTTCCGCCATCAAATTCTATATATGTATATTTTAAAACTTATTTGATCTTTCCTCTGCCTCTGAACATTTCTCTCACTCCTTGTAAACCTCCTTTCCCTAGTTTTCTATGATGATTCCTTCTTTAGAAGTTCCCTCTTGATCTGTTTTGCAGGTACCTCTTTCTCTGACCACCATGTAAATTTCCCTCCAATATAGGTTTCTCAACATCTTTCTCACTTGGCATAGTGTTGGAATTATTCCATCTACTCCCATGGCTTTAACCACCTTGCATGGGCTGGTAATACCCTAAATTCTCTTGAGTCCCTGACTAATTTATTCATTTGCTTGCAGACGTAGTCACTGAATATCCCAGAAATATCTCAAAGTTACCATGTCTAAAATTGAATTCATATTTCTTCTCTACCTCCTCCAACTTGTTGAGCATATAGGTTTCTGTTCAGTCATTTTTTCTGCCTGGAAGTAAGCTTCATTTTCTTTTCTGTTTTCCCTGATTGGTATTTTGTCTGCCTCTTCAACCTATTTTCTACTTAGGCCCTGCTCCATTGTATTGGTCAGCTGGAACTCAAAACCCAACACCCACAACTTAAAGTAGGAGAGATTTATGTGGCTTACCATCAGAAGATTCAATCTGTGGTCAGTTTTGTAAAGGAAATCTTCTCACCTCAGGATGACCCAGAGCACAGAAGGAGAACAATGCCACAGAAAAGGGGGTAAGGGACTAGATACAGACTCCTGGTCAAGTGTCCATAGCCCACTCAGTCGCACCCAGAAGCATGGTTTACTAATCCCATGACAGCCCCTAAGCTAAGCAAGTGGACCCTTCATCTTAACCTTCACACCCATCTCCCTTCTGGGACACAGCTCAAATGAACCCCTGACACTCCTTGGAGCAAACAAAACTCCTGTTTCTGTGTCCTGTGTACAAAGCCATTTCCTTTCTGGGATCTCCTGTGAAGATTTTGTAACTGTTCACAACTCAGATAAGCATATATCATTACATTTTGTTTTTCTACAATTCTGTATATGTTTTCCCTTTCTATGAGGATGGTGGAAACCTATCAGAGTCCTTGGGAATTCTTCCCTTCTCTAGAGTTAAGATACTCATTTTGGGATATGATCTGGTTACGATATGTTTCTGAGAAGTATCTGTGTCTTTCCTGACAGCTCCAGCAGCTCCAGTGTCTGATGGTTCTAAGGACTCTTGGGGCACAGAGGCTTTGATTGTATTCTGAGTGCTTCTTAACTATAGAATCACAACCATATTTTTATTTTTAGGGGCTTCATGGAATCTCCTCAGCATTGTGGCCACAAGTATGGGCTGCATTCTTGCTGCTCTTGGATCCAAACATTATTCTTTTGTTTCATTCACAGACAGGCAGAACCTCTTTCTATGAAGCGGTGAAAAATCCTAGTATTTCTTACATTTATTTGCATATTTATCTAAACTCTAGATTCCGCATGTAATTCCTTTAAAATACTTTTAAGTCATGCATTGGAAATGCAAATGCATAATGTAGAAGGTAGTTAATGAAAAACATTGAAGCAGGTAAGTATAGGAGGCAATAGGCAAGGGTGGGATCTGGGTCGACTTAAAGGAGCAGCCATTGCTCAGCTCTAATTTCTTAGTGTTATAAAACTCCATGGGCCAAAGTTTGCAAAAGTTCCGGTTTTTCAGTGGAAGCTGGACATTTAGTGTCTTATATAAAATTGCTAATATTTTAAATTGGCAATTGTATTAGTCTTCTTTCCCATCAATGGGACACAAAACCTGATACCTACAAGTGAAAGGAGGAGAAGAGTGATTTCAGGAGATTCAGTCCATGGTTGGCCATCTTCAAGGAAGGAATACTAGAGTGGAAAGTGGTAAAGCAAAGCTGCTTCCTTATAGTGGCTCGGAAGTAGAGCAGCAGAACATCACTATAGAGGAAGGGGTGAAGGACTAGATAAAATACACAAGGTCACATCTCCATGACCCACACAGGCACATCCAGAAGTTTGCCCCACTTGTCCCCTGGGTGGCTCCAAAGCCAATGAAGTTAGCATGATCAAGCCTAATTCACAACTTGCAAAAGGCTTATATGCCATTTTAGCAAGTTTCACTCATCCTTAGGTGGTAGGGGATCTATGAAGCTATTTAAAAACAGGAATAAAATATATCTGTTTCATATTAGAAGAGGGATAAAAGGAGTATCTTTGGCAGCCCAGCTCCTCTGTATGCCTTCTGCACTTTGACAGTGTTGCACATTGTAACTTTTTACTTTCCTAGACTTCCATTCAGGAACTCGTAATAAGAGGATCCCTTGAAGCCAGAGTACAGGTTTGTGACACCATTTCCACTATTCAGAGATACCTGTACTATCCTTGGATTTGGAATTGAGTAACAAGAGGGGTTTTAAAAAAACCTCTCGTGGCCGTACAGCCATATCTGTCTCTTTGGATGCAGCATGAGCTCCGTTCCCAGTCCTCAGTGTCATGCTCCCCAGAAGCCAGTTGGAAGTTAAATGGAAGCTTCCACTGAGCAGCTCCTGTGCTGCTGTTGGGCGCTATCCTCAGGTACACAGCTTCAGAGCCACACTTCTGGTTTTTCTGGATGTTTGACGAGTTGCCCACTATGTGAAGATGCTGCTATTTGGCTCTCAGATCATTGACCGATACAAGATGTTGTCAGTGAACATATTTATATAGTGCCCAAGACACCTGCTTAGGGCTGACATTGGGAGAAAGCACAGAGATACTACAAAGCATCTGAAAGGTATTAAAAATTCTTCTAAGAATTTGAAAAATATGAGGAGAATTCTCTCATATAGGTGATATTAATATGAGAGGAGGCTGAGGGAATGAAGGAGACAAATCAGCATAAATGCTGGCGAAGAAAGAAACAAAGTTGAAGAGTTTAATGTTGTGTGCCCTCAGGCTTCCTTCAAGTAGAATGAGGGTCTCCGTGAGCTGGTAGGAGAGGAATAGTGTCGGGGCTAGAGGACAGTCAAAACCCTGAGAGAGTCACAGTGCTTAGCAGCTAGGGTGGCTGGAGAAAGTAAACAGCTGGCTGACTTTGGATTTACGGTGAAGCAACTAAACCTAAAAGGGAACAAACAGTAGGCTAAAGAATAAAAGTCAAATGGTCAGAGCAAATTTCCTGTATCATTCTGGTTTGTGTTTGTACCCTCAGATGCTCAGTAACTATGCATTTGATGTAGGAAGGAGTGCATCAAATGTTACCAGAGGTAGACAGAAAGCAAGGAAGACGTGCAGAATTTAAGATCTTGCATCTAATGCTACTCCGTTGCTTTCTCTCATTTGCATACTAAATGTAAGGCTGCAGATGGCTTCATTTTATTACAGCTGCTGAATCAACTTACATTGGCTGCAGAATTCTATTGCTCTTGCCACAGAAAATGACCTCGATGTATTAAAGAATTCTCTAGGCCTGTTTCAAAAGAAAAAAGAAAAGCAAGACTAATTCAAATAATGGGTTAACATGTACTTCAGAGTCCATCAGATAATTTCAAAGGCAACTATAAATCTCATAAAACAATAAGAGTTTAGATTTAAAATCTCCATAGACCCCTGTCTTACAATTCTGTTTCTGTTTTATTATTTAGGCATTAGCAGCTTCTTTTCTATGTTTGATTAGGTTGCTTAACATTTTGTGGTCTCTCTTTACACTTCATTTTTAATAAAGGAATATAAGAAGTACTTTTCCTACCTATTAAATAATTTTACCTTTGTATCAGCATGTTTCTCACTTCTGATAATTGTGAAAATGTAATTGTTATAACAGAAGTGCACAGCAGCATGCCTGGAAGTCTGTCTGAGATCAAGTATCCCCTTGTCACATTCAAGAGATCCCCATAGACCAATGGAAAGTGCTGAATGATTCCAATAAGAGCACATGAGGAAAGGTTAAATGAATTGAGATTATTCATCTTGTATCATAAGGGAGTATGCTAGCAATAATATTAATTTGTTTCAGACAAAGTGATCTGTTGAGAAGAGAAACTATAACACCTTAAAAATTTTTCTTTACTGTAAGTCTTAAAGGGACATACCTTAGCTGAACTAAGGGAAGTCCCCTTGAAGTGTCTGATTTTAGGGCTGTCCCAGGGTCTTACCAAGAGAAGGAGATATTAACACAGAAAGCATAATGTAAAGAATTATTAATCATAATAGATAATTAAAATTATAAGCAATTGAATAGCCAGAAGTAAAAGAACTCTAAAGAATACAGGACTGGCAGAAATATGTAGCATCACCACCCCTAGGGATGAGGTTAGTTCCTCAAGAAAAGGCCCTCTCTTCCTGTTCCTAAGGTGTAGATTAAGTGCTTACTAAATAAAGGATGGCTTTCAGTCTCTGAGTGGCAGACAGTTGCTGTGGTTTAGCTCTAGTGGAAGTTGCTGGGAATCCACCTTCTGGAACTTGTGGAAAGCCTACTGAAGGAAAAGCTGTTGGTGAGAGAGGTCTCAGAGGAGGCAGTTTATTACAAAGCCTTCCACAGAGAGGGTAGCTATGGAAAGCAGCCACTAGCTGCTGTGCACTCCAAAAACTGGCCATGGGAGAACTGTTTCATGAACTGGGCCCTGAAGATACGGCAGAGACTAGGAACCAGGTAATAGAGGAGCATATTACATATTTAAGTTAAATAAATCTAGCATATTCACTCTGTAAATTAAAATGGAGTCTAATAAGGGAGAATAAGAACAACCTGAATTGAGAGACAGGTAGGTCTCATGGTTTCAACTAAGTGTACCTATATATATGAGAGTGGGAGGTGCCTTACTTCGTGCTAAATGTTATTCTTTTCTTTAAGAGTACAGAATTTTCAGGGGAGGAGGGGGTGAAGGGAGGGCAGGGACAAGGGGAAAAAATGAGAACCAAGACCTGTCATGTAAAGATGCAAGATCCCAATGATGAATGTAATTGTACTGTATACCTAAAGTGTACCAATAAACTCAATGAGGAAAAAAAAAAAGAATACATAATTTTCTTACACCATGACTGTCAACATGAGCCGGGTTCCTTTCTCTTATGCTCAGAGAGACAGCATCTATTTCAGAACTAAATCCAGCCATGATGCTGAAGCCACATTGTGTTCAGGAACTGGGGGACAGGATGAACAATGTGTGATGTTGGGAAGAATAAAGAATCAAACTGTTTTGGTAAAAACAAGAAGGGATAAGTATATTTAGTTTTGATCTTTTGTCTTACGGGATTTAGATGTCTGGTAAGTTTGACCTCTGAGGGTTTTGATTCATTGATAAAAATTTTCATTTTCTCTCTCCCTCTCTCTGAAGCCTGTTATTTTTTTAAATGTTAGAGATTGAACCCAGGGCCTCATCTACTGTAGGCACTTGTTTTTTATCTGAATGTCTCTTCTCTATTAATGGCTGACCCATCTACCCCGTCATGGCTACACACATGGAATCACAGCCTTCTTGCTTTCTAGGTCTCCTCAGACTATAGTCAAGTCTACTTCCCAGAACTTTCAATTACATATATTCTCATTGTTTGCAAACCCAACTGCAATTAGATGTTTACCAGGGATCATACCCAACTCTTCAATATTGTCACTTCTGGTTCTGCCCTTGGAGCTCAGTGCCCCAGGATAGCATATTCAAATGCAATATGCCCACGTCTCCCTCTTTTCACAAGAATTCCAATTTCTTGGGCTTTTCCTCCTCACCTAAGTTCTCAACTCTCTTTCAGCCATGTTGTTGAAACATGGCATACTGTTCCATGCCTGCACAGGCTATTTCACATGCAAGAATGTCTGCTTGCCAACGTTCTTCTGTCTGGGCAGCACATCCTTCAACAGCCATTGCTTACTCAATGGAAATATCATCATCATCATCATCTCTCACTACCACCTGCCACTATAGCACCATTTAGCATCTTTTGAGATTGAGCACATTATAAGGGAGAATGGTAGTCACTTCCCACACACAGTCTTTGTTGAAATTATACAAGAATTCATGGAGGTAGTTAGCTACCGGACAGCTTTTCCACCTTTCCAACTAAATAAAAGATTTTAAATAACTCACATTGGCTGCTAAGGCAATGGGCCAGAATTCAGAGGCACAGGGATTTGACTCTTGAGTCTCTTTCATGGAACACTAGAGTCTAGAAGCCTGCTGCAGAGTTGTTAAGGAGTGCAGTTATTCAGTCTTGCCACAGTACTTCTGTAAAATGAAGATATTAGCACCTATTGGCAGGATCTTGTGAGAATTAGCAGAAAATATGGAAAGGAAATAGCCAAGTCCTTAAAACATACAAGTCCCAGCTTCTGGTGTGTTTTCCTTTAACACCCCAGTTGTAGTTGATCTAAGGCTGGGATTAATTCACTAAAGGCTTTCAAATAATAAAAATAAAGCTAACATCAAGTACAATACAAAACTATATAGTTAAAGCCAGGAAATGCAGGTACCTTGGAGTTATACATATGTTGTTAGACTATCAGAACTGCTAACTATTGTATTATCCTGGTCCGGTTCTGAGATTTGGGCCATTTCTTCATGAATTTAGCAACAATGGCATCTCTTTGGTGGAACTATTGTGAGTGTTGAGTTTATGCATAAACTTGCATTCATTTATTGAGTATTCATACTCGGCATCAATGGTAATTAATACTAAATATTTACTGTCATACTTTAATATTTTATACACGGACAAAGTAAGGCCCAAAGAAAGGCTACAGATTTGTCCAGGTTACACACTGAGTGACTGACATCCTCAGGACTGGAAGCCAAGCTTCCTGGACCTGGAAGCTATGTGCTGAGCCCTTCTGTAATAGCTTCATGCTGTGATTTGGGCCTCTGCCGTCATGCAGCTGACAACACAGGGAAGTATACATGCAAGGAAAGAAAAGAACTGTAAAATTAAAAATAAAGTACTACAAAGGAAGTGAGTAGCACGTGTGGCATAAACAATAGGGACAGGATAATAGAGATCTGTCAGAGAGGGTGGTCCGGGAAGTCTCCTTGGGGAGATGACATTTAAGCTTAGATTAAATGAGACAATGTGTTTGATAAGGGACAGTCTGAGCACCCTGAGAAAAAACGTGGGAAGGAAAGGGATTTCCTTTTCTTTCCTCTATTTCAATAAAACATTTTTCACGACCCTGCCTGATTACTCTCTCACTGCTTCTGACTACCCCCCAAGAGATAGACTAGCAGAGAAGGCTTATACTTGTTTAAGTAGGAGCTGTAGAAATAAAGACTCCAGTGCTTGAACAATTGGCACATAGATGCTAACACGTTACTTTGTTTGCACATGCAATCTTTTATTAGATCATCAAGAAAACCTAGCTATTTACAAGTATTGTCACTTTTCTGCTTTCAGCAATTTGTTAGGTTTCAAAAACATCAACTCTGTTATTCACAGTGGCTTTGAAAAGGTGTTAAGACTTCTGGAAATTCACTGAGGGTTGTTGGTATCTTTTCCTATGCTTTTATTTCTAAATAATAGATGATTTCTTTGGCAAACTTATCATTTCTAATTTAATGGGTAGCACCTCAGTAATTGAACTAGCTTTTTGAAAGCTGCAGTGAGAGCTAAGGAAATCATAATAGAGGACTAAAATAAGATAAGTGGGGAAAGGGATGTATTACCTCTTTTTGCTCATCTGGTTGTTATTATTGTTAATAATAATAATAAAATACATGAAATTGATATAATTGTCTTTTTTACCATTGTTTGAAATATCCGTGGGAATGTCATATAAAATAGCAGTTGTAACAGTGTGAAAGAAATTATAGTATAGTAAAAGAAATTGGCAACATTGGGCTCTGCCTGATAATTGCCTCCTGATATTTTGAAAGCAAAATAGTCACAAATGGTTTTTAGGCTATTTCATGGAGGAAATAAATGAAGGCACACTACAAGGTAAGCTCTAGCCCTTCTCCTCCACTGATGATTGTGATGCATTTACTTGTAACTGGTGACCATTATGATGTTGCAGGCCGATTTATCATTTCTCCCCAATGATTTCCACCTTCTGCCCACACCTCATGTAATTCTCAGCCTATATGTGGCTAGATTTAGTGGCTCCCTTCTAACAAATAGTATACAGCAGAAATAAGGGGATGTCTCTTGCATAATTAGACTGAAAAACACTGTGAATTGTATCTTGGGTGCTGTCTCTCCTGTACTCTTACTAGAGAGAGACCAGCTGGTGAGTGCCCTGTGGAAAGGCTTCCATGAGGAGGGCCCAGATTTGTTAAAGCCTCTAAAACCCTCCCTGCAGACAGACCTCCTACCATCCAATTTTGCATCCAGAGGGGATGACAGGCTGGCTTACTGTTTGGGACTCTCCTTGAGTGCTGCAGACAATTATCTAAATGACCTTTAGATTTTGAACTCATAGAAACTGAGGCAGCAAGGGTTTGTCACTTTAAATGTGAAAATTTGAGTTATTTGTTATGAAGCAATACCTAAGTAATATTTTGACAAGGCATATGATAGAAACGATAAAGTTCATACCATGGGCTCTAGGTCTCTGAAAACAGGGAATGATTATGACCCAACCCTTAGGTGCATCTGTGGCATAGGGTGGAATATATATGCCTCAGTTTATACAAATCTCGGCTTGGAGTTGCATGTAAAAATTAGAGAGAGTCATCTGTGACTGAGAGGACAAGGGCAATAACTTAAGGGATTGAAAAATAGAACAAAACAAAACAAATGGAAAAAGCCTGTGGGCACATTATTGTGTGCCCTCATACTTGGGTTACCATCTTGGTTGTTTAAGTGAGAGATACATATTTTGTTTGTATTGAACTTTATAAAGCAGCTTTGTCAGTATTCAGAGGCCACATCGATTGTGGGATACAGAAGGTCCCAAAAGGAAATTAGGGTGACATTGTTACTGGGTTTTGAGGTGCTTGAGCCTCCTTCTAGAGGTACTTTCTAGATGCTTTTTGTCCCAAATGAAGAATTATTCATGACAAGCACAAAAAGTAGTGGAGTTTTATATTTATTAAAGGTAAGAAAAGAAAAGAAACATGCTCTGCAGAGTGAGGCTAGGCCAACTAAAAGTAGGAAAAGAAGCATGCTCTACAGGTTGAGAGTGGACGGCTGTGAAAAAGACAGCACAGTGGAGAAGGGGAAAATGGTGTCTGTATTTGGCATCTCCCACTCCTCAGGCTGACATCAGATCTGTGCTGTTCTATCAGAAACCTACTTGAGCTCTCATGAGGTAAACTGAAGATAGTACTCTGATTGGTTCCAAGTGAAGGGCTTTGGGGAATGTTCTGTGCATCGCATTCTGGAATTTTGTAATTGGCAGGTCATGCTCACTTCTCTAGCCACTTTGCCATACCCTAATCTCCTTCCTCAACATCAAGTGGAGAAACTGCATGTTATATGTGCAGCAAACATTGGCAAATTCTATTGCTTTGCTTATAAAGCACATACATTTGAGGACTTAAAGATGTCTCCAACTTTTTGTAATGACACTGAAGTAGGACAGAAGAAATAAAGATAGGCACAAAGGAGACAAGGAAAATAATAACTAAAGAAATTGTGCTTTTAAGAAGATTGCAACTCTAGGACACAGTGTTACCCGTACCAGTATTTAGTAGGATTATTTTTGCTTCTTTTATTTTAGGTCCA